CATTATAAAAATTTTTAAATTTAAAAAAATAGTTAAAATCAAGTAGATCTATAAATATATGAAAATCTTGAAAATGGACAGTGTAGATAATATGTAGTAAAATGTACTATTTTTGAGACTTAAAATCTTTTTATTTTTCATGGTCATACATCTCCATGTCGAGATGATCAATCAAAGGGTTTTTTAACATTAAAATTACCTTTTCCGATGGATTTTTGAGATGCATCCGTAGTTTTACATTATAAGGTTGCATCCTTATATAAACATTTTCCTTATTTTATAAATCATGAAACAAAGGAAAAGCAGGTTGCTCTTAAATGGATTTTGTGGCATTTTTCCTAAAATTGGTTAAAAAACGGCACCGACCAAATTCGTTGCGAAGGAGTTCTATGGCTAGTATGTTACAAAAACAGTGAGTCACGTTTAGTGGTCCATCCAAACGCAACCGTAATGTGTGACCGTGACCAAAGCACGCCAAGCAATAAATAATCAATGGTACCAAACTACAAGGCTATTTTACGCCAAGAATCTTGATTGGTAGGTTTTGAAAGAAAACCCATGCTCATTCTGCTGTTCTTGTTGTCATTAGGTTATTATTAAGGGGAAAAAGGTTTATATAAGGTTGCAATTTTAAAATATAAAATTAAGGTGCACATAACATCAAAACCCTTTAATTGATCATCTCGAAATCAATGTATTAATATGTAAAAAAAAAAAAAGATTTGGAATCTTAAAAATAATGTATCTTGCAACACATTATGTAGACCGTTCATTTTCAAGATTTTCAAGTATTTATAGATCTATTTGATTTGAAGCATTATTAAAATTTAAGATTTTATAATTAAAGATGAAAATAGATTATCATGCCATCCTAAGAACTTTTGACACCAAAATTATATTTATGAAAAAATTTGGAGGTGCATCTTAATTTGATTGTTTAAAGTTGCAATCTTATATAAACCACACCCTTATTTAGGAAAAAGTTTATATAAGCTATTAACATTATACTATAGTACCAAGGCACAACTCAAAAACTCATTGGAAAAAAATTATTCCGAAGCTGCTATTATTATTGTTACTATTATTTTGTTGATATCATCGTTGTTATTATTATTATTATTGCTGCTACTTTTATTATTAGGTTGTCATCATCATTATCATCATTATTATATTATAGTATTTTATTTTATTTTGTAATGTTATGTTTTAAAGGATCCCCACGTTATAAACCATATTCAATTAAACAGAGATGTGCAACATTATTTGAGGTTACCTAAGATCTTATTTAAAAGTGACACAAAGATCCCATGATTGTGGCCGCATAAATCAGGCGCTCCATTAGTAATCATCAAGATCAAACCAACCATTAAGCCAATGAAAATTTTGGTCCAGTCAAAATCAATCCAATAACTAGCCGAATAAGTTTGACTAATTTTTAGAAAAAAAAGAAAGAAATTCGATATGATAGTACAAAAAAATAAAATTTTTTTTTTTTTCAACGTTATTTAACCGGTCAAAACGGTTGATCTGACTGACCAAAACATGTCAAACCAATGGTTTAAAAAACGGATCGGTGACCCGGATCGGGCTTCCAAAAAACCGATCCGGATCGGCGAATCGGCGATCCAGATCAAGAATCGGGTGAATCGGTCAGAATAAAGCTTAAAAAAAATTCGAAAAAATTATTAAAATTCATTATAAATATTGTTTTTTAGGAATTCAATAAAAATGAGGGTACTCCATTAAGAATTTTCATGTTTTTGAATGAATATGCGAATATTGATATGTTCTTTCCCTGCATGAACCGCCATTCAGCATTTAATTTACAGTATTTCGTGCTCATCCCTATACTGTTGCTGTTGGGACTCGATATGTGAATAATATGGCTGGGATAGGG